GAGAGAGTAAAAGACGTCGCGAACCTATTTATCTCAAACTTAACCTCGTTTAAGCTTCGGATATCTGTTTAAGCTTCCAACAATGCAAATGCACAGACTGCACAAATCTTGATAAGGGGACAAATATAAATTTTTTGCCTGTGTTCTTGATAAGGGGACAAGTGTAATTATCGTACGTCAAAGTAGCTCAGCAATAACGTGAGATCGATTTAGATCTGAATTAATATCTGATGCTGATGTTAATAAAAATTCCTTTCCCGAGGAGGCCATTTTCATGGTTTTTTAATCATACATTCATACTCCACCAACACGAATGGCCCAACCAGAGCAAAGGAGAGAAAAGAGAGACAGACAAATCACAGTACACAGATCATGAACCAAACCGTAATCTCCAACGGTGATAACAATTCCAAACCGGCGAAAACCGGATCAATCTCCTCCGTACCAAAATGGATGACATCATTCCCCGTCGTCGATCTCAACACCGGATCCAACGGCTGGGCTTCTCCTGCCGGCGACATCTCCGCTCCGCTAACTACTTCAAAACCAAACAGAAATCTCCCGGCGGCGACTACCTCCTCTCTCCCGCCGGCGTTGACTGGCTCAAATCCACCGCTAAACTCGACAACGTCCTCGCTCGTCCCGACTACCGTGTAGCTCACGCGCTAAGAAAAGCCCAATCTCGCGGCGAATCCCTAAACAGCTTCATCTTCGCCGTCAATTTCCAGGTCCCAAGCAAGGAACCGTACAGCCTGGTGCTCTATTTCGCGACGGAAGATCCGATTCCTTCCGATTCTCTGCTCCACCGGTTGATCAACGGAGAAGAAGATGACTCGTTCCGTAACCAGAGATTGAAATTACTGACCAATGTCGTGGAAGGTCCTAGGATTGTTAGAGCTGCGGCCGGGAACTTCGGGGCGTTAGTTTTGGGTAAGGCTTTGAAGTGTGGTTACCATAGAGGAACTAACTACTTTGAGATCGATGTCGATTTGGGAAGCTACGCGATCATGGCGGCAGTTGTACGGCTTACGTTGAGGTACCTTAGGAGCTTGACGACTGATATTGGGTTCGTTGTGGAAGCCCAAACGAAGGATGAGTTATTAGAGACATGAGAAATTAGATGGGAAGAATTATATTTACTCTCATGAATCATAATATAGGAATTACATGTGTTTATATAGAGATGAGATTTCCTAAACTATGGTAGATACAAATCTATATAATAAATACAATATATTCACTAATAATATCTTGGATCTTCTAGATATTTCTATACGCCCTCTCAAGCTCAAGATGGTCATGGAGTGGTAGCGGAATTAGCAGCTTGAGATTGACTATAGAATGCTAGCGCAAAGTGGTGGAGCGGATTGTTGAAAAGACTTTGGCGGCTGTGGCGAGTAGAAAGGGAGAAAAGCTAAGTGAAATTATACTCATCGAAAGATTTAACAAACATAAAATAACTATGTTTTGTTAGAATTAATCTCCAATCAATACAAATCAATATATTTAGACTGTAAGTTTCTAAGCAAACGATTTCATACATATTTAGTGTATTTTTGACAAATAAATGGGTAAACAAAAATTTATATTTTAATTTTGTTAATAACATATAATGAATTGATTATATATATACCAAACAAGTTCAASGGGGTATGAAATTATCATATTWTCATTGTGTGGGTCCTTTTCATCGAGTTAATATTTTTTTGTACGGTATTGTTTCTGRYTACCATATTACATTTATCCAGATCGAAAAAGATGGTGATTGTCAATAGAATGTTTGTGATATACAGTTTAAAACTAC